AGACCGCTGGCTCCCACTGTGGTCGCCAGCTTGTTTGGTTCAAAAGTCGCTGCTGTGGAATTCATTATAACTTTGTTCGATTACAACAAATTCGAAAGAATAATCTTTTTATAAGACTTTTTCTACACAACAAAACAAAAATTACAACTCTTGAGAAACAAACACGAAAATCGTCTATCAATTCTCGTTTTCGTGGGACTTTGCCTGTGCCGGGAACGCTTTGGTTCGTGGACCGCCGATTCACAGATCGTGAAGAGGGGGCTTATGATTCTAACTTCGTTATCGAAGTAGAAATTGAAACGATATCTTATCGAAGTAAGATAGTCGTTCTTCTTAAAATCAAGTCGAAGCTTAATTTCAAGGCGTTGCAAGAAAAGAACTCAAATCTCTGCTCTCTCTGCTCTGGAATGCTCTAACAAATGCTCGATCCTCGTCAGAAGTGACCCTAGGGGGGTATTTATAGCCTCAAGGGTCAGTAACTGCAAAAACTTAACAATCGAAGAAGTCAGTACGGCGAGACAGTGTTTACTGTCTCGCTGGGCGAGACAGCGTTTGCTGTCTCGACCCGCGAGACAGTAAATTTGCTGTCTCGCTCAGCGAGACAGTAAATGCTGTCTCGGAAAATGGCAGTTTCTCGCTGTAACTGTTCTCTCACGTTTCAAACTCCGTTATTTTGGCAGTTATCCACGTGATTTTCGCCCATGATGTTTCCCACGTCCCTTGGCAGTTAATGGACACGTGTAGGGCAGTTACAAATGTAGTTTTGACTATTTCAACACTGTCTCGCTGGCGAGACAGCAAAGACTGTCTCGCTGGCGAGACAGTTCATACTTGTTTTGATTTTTCCAAAACAGTATGAAATCCTTTCTTGTGAATTTTTGAGTGATCTTCTCTATGCTTGGGATATCTATTAGCATTTTTTGACGCCTACAGATACCCCCTCCAAAGTATTCCAGACTCATTCTTTTATAGAGGAGCATGGGATACTTTGGATAAGATAGATTTTACTTACGATCCCTTCAATGCTTGGCTGAATAGATCGTATGAAAGGACTTGTAAATGGCTTCAATGTTTAACCTCTTCTGCTGTTAGTCTATCCAGTTCTTCGTAGAATAGCTAACGTTCTCCCGGCGTCGCGTTTATCGCTTGACCGTTGTCGAGATCTTGAATTGAAGTTGATACTTGCTCTTGTGAATTCAGCGTTTACCATTGAATTGGTATATCCATTGAGAATTCCTCAGGTTATCCTTAAGAATATTCAGATTAATATTCTCCAGAAACTTCCTGTTGAGGGTGGGAATACAGTTTAGACTCGTGTACCCATTGGAGTATTCCACTGTTCCATAGTGCAAAACAGAAAAGTTTACTGTCTCGCTCGGCGAGACAGAGTTTTCTGTCTCGCTGGGCGAGACAGTGTTTTCTGTCTCGCTCGGCGAGACAGAGTTGTCTGTCTCGCTCAGCGAGACAGAGTTTCCTGTCTCGCCCGGCTGCTATATAAGTCGGGACTTAGGGTTTTAGGGTTTTTTACGTCGGATTTTGGCGATTTTTTGGGCGATTCTTGGGCGATTTTCGACCAGTTTTCTTCTATTTCTTCTCCTCTTTGTTGCCGACTTGGGAGGTGCTCTTGTTTGGGAAGATTTCACTCAGATTTCAAAGGTTTGTTCTTCCCCTTTTCTCCAAAATTTTGACTCTCCTTCAACTGTGACTGTGCATGCATCATTTCGGTTGTATTTGTCCTATTTTTTGTCGATTTCATGTTCAAAATCTTAACCTTCCTCTTGGATTTCAATGTAGATCACATACTCATCATGTCGCCACGTAGAGCTCGAGGGAAGGGAATCCGACCGACTGTTCAGAGCCCTGAGGAGGCTGCCCCTGCTGCACCCTCACGTGGAGGTATATTTCTTTCACCTTTTCACGAATTTAAATATTGTATTTCGTCCATTCCATATGTATGTTCCTATTTTTGCTTGCAGATCCTCGTTTGTATCCTTTGAGGTACCTTCGAGAAGAGCCGGTATCCTCCTTTGAGGGGATCGACGCTTAAAAGTGTTTGTTTTGCTTTGACAAAACACACTTCATAATACACAGGGGCGATTTTACATCATCCCATATGTATTGAAAGGTTTTGGTATGCCGTTATAATGCCCGCATACCTCCTTTATACATATGGTGGATAGAAAATCGTCACACCTGTTATGAGATAACGACTATATCTTATAGAATGAGATATACCGTTTTTCTCTAAAATTTTAGGATGACACTTACACAATTTATGTGTATGCCTCTTTTATCAGTCCGATTTCCTTCTACCACATTTACTGCTGATGTGATTACTGGCCGGAGTAGCGTGACCCACTCTTATTACGAGGGGATCCCGTTAATTGAATCCTCTCCCCAGTTTAAATCTGATTATAGTGGAAGTGATAGAGAATTAATCCAGCGAGGTAGTTGTCGTGTTCTACGACGATTAATCACAGATGCGCCCTTGATCTCGGAGCAAGACTCGAATCAATGCATAAGGAAGCCAGATTTCTTATTTGGTGACTCGGTAAAAGATCCGAAGATTGCTTTCTGCCAGCCTGCGCAATGGTTGCACCAGAATGGGTCCTCATTCTTATATCTGCCTTTTATCCCCCGGGATCACTCACTATTAATGTTCAGGAATCTATCAGTTGGACGTGAGATGTTCTGGAAGTTGACTGAAAATCACGAGCGTATTCATTGTGGTTTTATTGGGAAGGAAGCCAACCCAGGCTCCAGTGAAAGAGCTCATGTGCGGGGGCTTCATCCGGGTATCTTGGGACAAGATAATATACCTCAGAATGAAAAGATAGTGCAAGCCAACACCGTGAAGAACCGGTTAGCGGCAGCGGGCAAAAGATTACCCAAAGAGACTTTTAGATGCTATGGATGGGTCCATTATTCTGGGGACAAATGGTGGTGGACCAGGATGACCCGATATGTGTTAAACCGCTTTGGGCGAGAGTTAGCAGAATTAGGGTTAGATGTCCCGATTCGTGCCACCATGCATGGCCTACAGAGTAGTGTAGGTCATTTCCTCTGCTTGTTCGAGATCTATAACCCGGACACTAATACATTCTTTACCAAGAACGGGGAACTCGGATTACCACTGCATGAAATGATGCAGGTGTCTGGTTTGCCTATGGGCGATGTTCCCTATCAAGAGTTCTTTCCAACTAGCAATCAGCTGAACAAGATGAAAGATAGCTCAACTGTGACTCATGATACTTTATGGGAATTGACTTGCCATTATCATATAGCCATGGCCGAGATGGAGCCCAAAGCCAGAAAGAAATCTCCTCAGGTCAGCTTAAAACAATTCGCTGACTACCTCTTCAAGAACCTGGATGTCCGTTCGGCAGATGTGTGCGGATTGTCTCCTTTGAGTACGGATGAAATTAACCGTCTGTTAGAGAAAACCAACGCGCAATCTTATACTTCGCGCTCAGAAGATGGATTTTTGCACGGCACTAAGTTCCGCTCTTATCTGTGGCAAGCTGGTGTTCCGATTAGCCCTACTGCTCTGCTGGCGGGTTTTCTAGCCTTATGGTTAAAGAGATGTGTAGTTCCTCATCAGTCCGCAGATGCGATGCCAATGGAAGTGTTGTATCCGGCCGTCCAGCTAGTTACAGGTCGCAAATTATCTTTGCTTCCCGCTATGGTGGCCGATATTCATAGTGGATTACGGCAATTAATCTCCGTGTTTACTCAGGAGAAAAAGAAACCCTCTGCCAGTCTGTCCGTTCCGAAGCTGGAGCTACCTTATACTTATCTGATGACCTGGTTAGTACTTCATCGACCAGATTTAATGGAAGCTCCTGAGACGGCAAATTCTAGCATCCCTCTGTTGCAGAATCTCGAGAATTGCAAATGGATCAGGCATCAAGAACCCGACATAACGAGGCAGTTTAAAATTCACAAGTGTTGGGAATTCTTCCCCTGCTTCCCTCAATTCTCCGGTACCTACAATACTACTTTAGTAGATGCTGAAGACCCAAGGCAGAATCGCACTATCTTGGATGTCGGGTGCTTCAGATGGTTGATGAATATTCGACCTGGATATCTGTTCTTCAGAGTAAGGGATGTTTGCCACATTGAACCCTATCTCCCATGTCGATTCGCCCGTCAATTCGGGTATGATCAGATATATGTCGGCAATCCAAACCGCCACCTTAGCTTTCGAGGTGGACTTATCGATGGTGCGAGGGCTTGGTTCTGGAGCATTGCTGGCTGCACAAATGTTGAATTTGATCTTCCTTTAGAGGCGCCGCCCCTAAGGATGACCTTTCTCTTCTGCAAATGGCTGATAGCCACCAATATTGCCACTCGACGTAGGAGGATATCAGACTCAGAGGAGGAAATAGCTCCACGACAAGCAACAGAACCGCCTCGTGAAGCTGTGATGTCGCCTCGAGGAAAAGAGGCTGCTGAATCATCAAGGAAAGGAAAGGAACCGGCTCTCCCAGTTGATAGTGAAGAGGAGTTTGATAGTGAAGCAACCGAAACTTCAGAAGGGGAAGACGAGAATGAATCAAGTTCTGAGGAAGTATCTGGCCTTCCCGATTCATTCTTTGATAGAGGACTTGTAAGGCCTTCTGTCGCTCCGACCCAACCACAAGCTGCTCCAAAGAAACGTAAGGAAAGAGTCGTCATGGAACATCCTAACCGGATGACGGTAGAAGTTCTTAGTTGCGACGAAGAGGATGAAGAGGATATGGTGCCTCTCATTCGTCGGCAAATATCTCGAACTTCTACTCAAGCTCAAACTCAAGTTTCTCCCCGAGCTGAGTTACGCACCAAACATCGTCATGAAGGTTCTGGTGCACGCCCTCTGAAGAAACAGAAGAAAGCTGTTTCTAAACCGCGCGTTCATCTTCCTGCTGTAGAAGAGGCGTCTGGTCGTAGTGCTTCTTCTGATGAGCAAGGTAACGATTTGTTTTTATAGCTTTTACACTTTTTGACGTTCAAACTTATTTCATGTTCAACTTCTGCAGGGAGTCGAGAGGAAGGAGAATTGCCAGCTGATGCTGCTTCTCCCGGAGGTATGGAAATTGAGGAAACAAGCTTCGTCCAACAAATGCATGATGCTCTGAAGGAAGGATCGGCTGATGTTCCACCCACTCCTGACGTTGATCCATCAGCTGCGGACACAGGTACTGATCTTTCTCCTCTCGGAAGAGAAATCCGAGAAATGAATGAGTCGGACCGTGTGCCTCCTCTAATGACCTGTGCGCTTTCTCTCCTTTTAGTCAAATTAAAAGAAGCAGGTACCAGTAGTGGAGCTCTCGAATCAGCCCCGACCAATGAAGGTAAAATCGATCTTTGTCTTGGGCAGATTCGTCTAAATTTACATGTTATTTATGGTTCCTCATGTTCTTTAGACATCCCGATGCACGAGCCTATTGAAGGAGAAGCTACCCATGCCACCAAAGTCGATGATTTTAATAATTTCGACTTTAATATCTCAGAGGACGACCATCAACAAATCCTTGATTCTCTGTTAGAGAAAGCCTCTGATGCAACTATCGGCTCAGATGTTGGAATTGGTTCAACGGAAGCCGGTCCTTCTGAGAGTAAGACTTTGGTTCTGTGAACTCCACATATATATATACGTATATATTTTGACTTGATTAATCATATAAGTGTCTGAATTATAGGACCAACTGCTGGAGCTGATACTACTATAATTACTGGAACGTCTGATCGGCCAGAGGGTAGCGAACTCGTGCCATGGGCAGGAACTGAGGTTGATTTGCAATCATCAGTTCTTGAGCCTCAACCTTCTACTCCTATGGACCCTATGATGATAGAAGTCACTGTCACTCCCCAGATTAGTCCGGTCGCAACAAAAGCGAGACCAACTGAAGGCGTTGGTACGTCGGCTGATGTTATGCCTATTGCTGGTACATTTTACCCATAATTTTGTTTCAAATTTTGGGTTAACATCTCATTATGCTCATTGTAACTCCTTCGTTTGTAGAATCAACTCTTAAAGAGCCTCTTAGCTTGGACCCGCCGTCTTCTGAAGCTTTAATTGAAAAAGCCTCTGATGTAGCGGGTGCATCAACAGCTACCATTCCTGAATCAACCTTGGTTGTTCCGGAAATCAGGTTACCATCCTCGGGTGAACTAAGTCATGCTGAAGGTTCTTCCATCGAACTTGGTATGTCTTAGTTTGTTGTTTTGTATGTATATATATGTCCTGTACTGACCTATTTGCCTTCATCGCAGTTCCTTCATCATCATTATCAGATCGCATCCGAGCTTTGTTAGCAGACGAGGATCCGGATAAAGCCGGCATTTGCTCTGATCTCGACGGCTTCATCTCCTTTTTGAATTCTATGGTTGATCGTATTCTCTCCAAAGGATCGCGATTTGAGAGTTTTAAGAAACCTCTTGACCGCTATATATCAGGGATCCGTGATGAAGGATATAATGATTTAGCCGATTCGATCAACGCCTACATGGTTGACTTGAAGCAACATGTTGACCTTCTGAGGGGTCTTCGCACTGAAAGCGTACCTTCCTACATTGCTTCTCGCATGGACTCCAAGCTACAAGCGTTGCGTGATTCCCAAACATCAGCTAATCTCGAGCTCCAACAGCTAAGAGCCCACAGCGATCAACTTAGGATGAATGTTGGCAAGAGAATACAAGCCCAGGTTAACCTACGTCGGGATTTAGAATCGAGTCGAGCAGAAATAGCTCGCTTAGAGGAGGAACTTGCAATGGCCAAGGACGCTCATGATGTCTTGAAGTCTGAGTTGACGCAGGAGATTCATATTGAAGGCAACCTGTTACAGCAACTGAACCTTCAAGATAAAATAATTGCTGAAAAGGAACAAGAGGTCGTCGCGCTTCACAACGTTGACGAAGAAGCCTTTAAAATCAAATTGGCAGCTGAGCTTGAAGCCGAGCCACCCCATGGGGTGGCCGAGCCACCCCATGGGGTGGCCGAGCCACCCCATGGTGGCTCGGTTGCCGAGCCACCTATGGGTGGCCGGCCACCCATGGGTGGCCACCCTCTGACACGTGCACACGGGCACAGTAAAGGTGGCCGACGGTGGCTGAAGGTGGCCGACGGTGGCTGACAGTGGCCGACAGTGGCCGACAGTGGCCGACAGTGGCCGACAGTGGCCGACAGTGGCCAGCATTTGTTCTTTCGCGGGCACTGTTTAGAGAGCCTATAAATAGGCCTAGGGATGCTCATTTTCAAGGGTTGGAAATTTTGGAGAGAGGCGAAGCCCTGCTGGATTGGAGACTCGGAACTTAAAAAAGATTGAAACTTTGGGACTTCGGGGACTCACTCCTTCAGATCTGGTGCTCGGCGATCATCAACGTCAAATAAGGCAGGTGTTCGAGAGGATCAGATCTCAGATCTACGCGGGCATACTCCGGATCTAAGCTTGGTCTTAGATCCCGAGACTTGGACGATTGTTTCCTTGGTGAAACAATCCTCCCCGGCTATTATTTCCTTGGTGAAATAATACCTGTCGTACTGCATAGATCCGACCAGATCTAGATCTCGCGGTGGTCCACGGCAAACAACCCCGGCGCAGGCAAAGAACCCATAAAGCGAGCGACCGCAAAACAGGAGCTCGCGATTCGTTCGACATAAAGGAGAAAAGTTGTAATCTTTGTTTATTTTTGTTTGATTTTCGTTGTAACCGGATCTTATAAAAAGACCGGATCTTTTGTAACTCAAAAAGTTGTAACTCAAGATGACAATGGAATCAATAACAAAGAAAAACACGAATTTCCCCGCGAACAATGTTTACCGGGTTCAAAAAGCTTTATATGGATTGAAACAAGCTCCTAGAGCTTGCTATGCTCGCCTCTCTAGTTTTCTTGTTAAAAATGGTTTTTCAAAAGGAACAATTGATAACACTCTTTTTGTGAGAAAAAGGAAAAATGATTTTATTTTAGTTCAAATATATGTTGATGATATCATTTTCGGTGCTACTAATAAATCTTTGTGCAAGGAATTTTCTAAAGTTATGCAAGATCATTTTGAGATGAGTATGATGGGAGAGCTTACATTCTTTCTCGGGCTCCAAGTCAAGCAAACTAAGGATGAGATATTCATTTCTAAAAGCAAGTATGCTAAGGAATTGGTGAAGAAATTCAATTTGGAGAATTCTAAGCATGCGCCTACTCCCATGAGTACAAGTGTAAAGCTTGATGCGGATGAAAGTGGCGGGGACGTGGACCAAAAACTATACCGAGGTATGATAGATAGTCTTCTTTATCTCACCGTTAGTAGACCCGATATCATGTTTAGTGTATGTGCATGTGCACGTTTTCAAGCTTCTCCTAAAGCATCTCATTTAATTGCGGTTAAAAGGATCATTAAGTATGTTAATGGAACTTTTAATCTTGGTTTATTTTATCCAAAGAGCACCTTTTTTGATTTATATGGTTTTTGTGATGCCGACTTTGCCGGATGTAAGGTAGATTTTAATTGCGGTTAAAAGGATCATTAAGTATGTTAATGGAACTTTTAATCTTGGTTTATTTTATCCAAAGAGCACCTTTTTTGATTTATATGGTTTTTGTGATGCCGACTTTACCGGATGTAAGGTAGATCGTAAGAGTACGAGTGGAACATGCCAATTCTTAGGAAATTAACTTGTTTCTTGGGCTTCTAAGAAACAAAATTACGTTGCATTGTCCACTACGGAAGTGGAATACATTGCCGCCGGCTTATGTTGTGCTCAAGTATTGTGGATGAAACAAAGTTTGGTTGACTATGATTTGAATTTTCAAAATATAAAAATCTTTTGTGATAACACTAGTGCTATTAATATTTCCAAAAATTCGGTTTTGCATTCTAGAACGAAACATATTGATGTACACCATCATTTCTTACGCGATCATGTAGAACGGCAAGATGTATCCCTATAGCGGATATATTTACTAAGCCTCTTGGTGAGGATGATTTTTGTCGCATAAGAAATGGTTTGGGCTTATACAATATGTGAAAGTTCTATTTGCTTGCTTGTTTAGTTGCTTTTTTTGCATGCATTTCTCCTTAACCCATTTTTGATGGTGACAAAGGGGGAGAGAAATCTCCTCATTTGTTGCATATATTTAGGGGGAGCTCATAGATAGGGGGAGCACCCATCTATAAGCTATATTTATTTTTTGCTCTTATATAATGGTTGGTTGTCATCATCAAAAAGGGGGAGATTGTTAGCCCTTATGTTTTGATGATGTTCTTACAACCACCATTATCGGTACTAATGGCTTATTGAGTATAAATGTAGTAAATTCATTTGTCAAGCTCGTTAGTGCCATCAACGGAGGATGGATGGAATATACGCTACAACGAAGATATCCAAAGGAGGAGGAGGCCAAGAGATGAAGCAACACTATTTTTCACAAGTATGAGGACTTATTTGCAAAAAAAATTTTCCAAACAATTTGTTTTTAGTATTAAAAATATTTTGCAAAGTTTCATAATTTTCAGAGGTCAAATGAATATTTTACAAATATTGTAAGTGAGTCAAAAATCAGGTTTTTGAGTGTATCAAATTGCGGTCGACCGCCACGGTCGACCGCGCCTGTGCTCACTCGACAGTGGGCAGTAGAAACTTTCACGGTCAACCGCTGCGATCGACCGTGAGCAAAAAATTTCCCACGGTCGACCGCCACGGTCGACTGCGAAAGTCTCTGGACTTTTAGTAAGTTTCTGAACTGCCTCGCGGTCGACCACGAAAAAATCACGGTCGACCGCTGTATATTTAAAACGGTAATTTTGTACAAATCTTTAGCACCGATTTCACACGATCTGGCGATGTTCTGTTTCCAGGTTTTGGGAGATTGGTTATGGGTTTCAAACAGGTGTGTTTTTCTATATAAACCCATCTTCTTCTTCTTCCTCAGTGTCCTAGTTCTTTCAGATATTTTCAGAGAACGTTTTTTTAATAGAGCTTCATTTTCAAACCAGTTTCTTCTTAGTTTTTGTGTTTCACATCCCAGCTTCAGTGTTATCTGTTAGACCCTAGAGGGGGGGTGATTAGGGTCTTATGCTAATCTAATCCGATTAAATGCCAATTAAAATTAATTAATAAGTTATCCTAGCAAGTATGAAATGCAACAAGATATGTAAGCTAGGATAAACAATATGAACAATGAGATATATCCTATATAATGTATATATATATGCAAGGATATATAAATTAACATAAGGGATAAACAATCTAAACAAGATAGTGGATAAAATGAATGAGCAATGCACAATTGGCGATATAAAATAAATGCAAAAATAAATACGCCAAAGACAAACTCAAACAAGCGATATGATCACGGAGTTCGGACCTTCCGTCCTACGTCTCCGCTCCAACTCCCGGGGAAAAATCCACTAACTCAACCGGGTTTTCTACGTTCACCCGAACAACGTTTACACCTCACAGGTTTTCTAGCTAACCGAAAACTCTACAACTCACACTCTTGCAATCACACTCTACACCCACTAAGTGTTGGACCTAGCCGTGTCTCCCTCAAGTGCTCGGTTACAACCTCTCCCTAGGCACGTCAACCGACGCCACTCCTCTTGGGACGATCCCCGACTCTCACCACACACTCCTCACTCGGTGTACAAGTGTATTACAAAGTGATTTCACAATTAAGCACAATATAGCAAATGATTGTTCTCTCTAACAAGGTGAGAACTCAATTAGGCTCAACTCAATGTCACACTATCCCACAACCCAATTATATAATGTATGCAAATACAATAAGCTCAATGGTTGTGTGTGCAAACAAAGAGTAAATCAAATCAAACTAAACTCAATATAAAACTAGCTTTAATAGAAATGATAATCAACAAATAATTATAAATAAAAGCTAGACTTGAGTTTAGGAAAACTTCTCTAGATCAAGATGGAGAGATGGAGATATGAAGCCCAAACAAGAAGATGATCTCCTCCACTTGTGAAAACCAAAACAGCTTAAACCAAACCCTTAAACAAGCTTAAACAAGCTTAAACTCTTTTTAAAACCCTTGTTTAAAAACTTCTTGTCTATGTTTGAAAGAGAGCAGCAATAGGGTATTTATACCCACCATTTCCGGTCGACCGGTCCGGTCGACCGGAGTTACTGTAGCAGTGCGCAGCTGTTTTGTAAAATCAATTTAAAATAGTAAATGAACTCCAAAAATTATGAAATTTTGTGAGAATGTTCTAGACATGTAACATAACATGTCAGAGAAAGAATTTCTGAAAAATATTTTCCCAGTTGAGAGAAATAAATATTTGAACACAAATTTACAGTTTCTGAAAAACTGTTAACATATACGATTTTGTAAAATCAATTAGGCACAGTAAATCAACTCCAAAAATAGTAAAATTTTGAGAGAAGTTTCTAAACATGTAGATAAACATGTCAGAGAAAGAATTTTTCAAATATCACTTTCCATTTGCGAAAACTCACCTGTTTTGTAAAACATGCACGAACATGTGCCCGAACGAAAACATGATTTTGTAAATTCCATTAAACATAACAAATCAATTCTAAACTTGATGAAACTTTGCGAAATGTTTGTAAACATGAAAACAAACATGTTAAAAAAAGAATTTCTCAAATTGAATTTCCATTTGTGAAAACTCATGTATTTTGCAAGTGTGTCCAAAGCATGAAACTCAAAACCATGCATGTATATATATAACTATATATATACATAGAAACCAAATACGTGTGTGTATATGATATTGAGCTTAAGGTACTTAACACACATAATATAAAATCTAAACTAGATTACCCAAGCTTGATCTTGATCTTCATTGTAGCTCAACTTGGTACACATGCGGATGAAGCTTGAACTTGATCTTTAACTTTGAATTGCAAGGCTTCAACCCGACATTCCGCCAACCTCCATTTGATATCGTCGTTGAAGCGCTATTCCATCCATCCTCCAACAACGTTGTTTGTCTACAAATCATAGGAATGCACAAACACTAGACAAACAACATTAGTAATAAATTGTTTGTTAAACATCATCAAAACAAGAAAGCCAACATTATCTTCTCCTTGCCATAGGGACATTGTAAAGAGAGGATTCTTACACCAGTTCTACTATTTTGAGAGCTTGATCTTGTGTAGATCAATTGTGTGGGAGTGTGATCTAGTGAGATCAATTGTGTAGTGTGAGATCGTGAGGGGATCGCTGTGTAGACGAAGTTCCAGCTTCCAAACCGGGTTGTGTAGTGGATTTCTCCTCGAGAGTGGGGAGCGGGGACGTAGGTCAGCGGACCGAACCTCGTTAACACATCGCGCGTCACAGGATAACGATTCCTAACCCTATCTTCTCTATTTTGATTGCATTTGGATATTGTGTTTTGCTTGTCTTAATTTTATTGCACAATTATAGCCTCATGACCCTAATCACCCCCCTCTAGGGTCCAACAAAGCCATCCAACATGATTAGCCCCTCCATTAATGAGAATGATGATCATCTCAAACCTTCACAGACTTAGAAGAAGAGAGGATCATTCTTGTAGCAAACCAAGGCGGCAACCCTGACACCTAGTCAGGAAAAGCTTATCTAAAGGACTATGATCAGAGTGCTCAAGAAATAGAAGAACAACCCCAAGAGGCTAGGGGTTCTGTCCCTAAGAAGTCAACCGACAAAGGGAAACAAAAAGAAACCCGATATAACAAGAACCTATTTCAAGAAGTCATAGAATCGAGTGCTCCCTTTCGATTTAACGTCATAGCACAGTTAGCCAATACACCGACTAGAATTACTCTATACGAGCTTCTGCGATTGTCTAAAACTACGAAGGAAGCTCTAATTGAAGCCTTAACGAACATGGAAAGCTTTATTACACAAGTTACTTTGATTTTCAAAGCTTCTGAAGGCCAGTCTTGCATACAGTGTCTACAAGCAGCAAGAAGTTTACCCTGCATATCATTTACTCAAGAAGATAGGCAGGTCAAACACAAGCACGATAGACATTTGTACTACACATGGTACATTGGGTCCTCAGAAATCAGCTGTGTACAAGTTGATCCAGGCTCAACACTTAGCATCATACCTTACAGGGTCATGCAGGTCTTAGGGATTCTCATGCATCGGTTGAACACCACCCAGACCACTATCTTCAGTTTAAACGCTAACAGTACTCGACCCCTTGAAAAGATCAAACTTAAGTGTCAAATCGGAGATTTCAGGTCCAAAGGGACTTGTTATATCATAGATATGGATACATCCTACAATTTATTATTGGGACGACCATGGACTCATACGAACCGCATTGTCCAGTCTACCCTACATCAGGTTATGAAGTATGCTAATGATGAAGGGGAAGTACAAACCCTGATTGCTGAGAAGCGTCCTTTCAGAGGGGTAGAGAGCTTCCATATAGACTCTATCTTCTACCTGGAATCTCAAGAGAAATTGAAAGAAGATGCTGACAGTGGCACCGAAACTGATATCTAGCTAGATACTAAGGAAGATTGTCCATGGGAGCTGAATTTTGATGTAATGGGTCAAATGGAAAGCAATAATAATGTACCGAGTGAGGGCGAGTGGTGCATTAATAAAGATTTTATTTTGGCGTACTTGTCTGATGTGTCCTATAAAAATAAACAAATGGAGATTGATACTGATGTAGGTATCAACCCATAGCACACATTATACGCCGAGGCATCACTTACGTTGCTAGTTAAATCATCCTTCACTGCAAATGAAGAAATGGAAGATGTCTGAAAGGTTTTCTTCAAAGTCCCATCCAAAAAGAAAGGACAGAAGTCAATCCACTTTGGTAATGTCAAACCTGAACTATTTAAGCATGGAAGTTCAGCGAAAGATAATAGGGTTACTTAATTCCATTACTATGAACCCAATTCTATCTTTTTGATGAAACGAATGGGTTACAACTTTAGCGAGAAAAACTGATTAAACTTTGGGAAAGAAAGACGAACGCTAGTTCAAATGTCTCTCACTCCCGAAGAAAAACCTCCTAACTATTATCAAAAGACTGGAAGAGGTGTGGGTTATGTCACAACCCCTTCCCATTTAGAAAATGAAACCGGTGACTGTATGTGTCAAGACCATTCATCCGAGACATTATCATTGGAATCCGATGTCAGCGTCAGACCTTTTTTTAAAAGCCTAACTGTGAACATGGTTTTGGCCAGATGCCCAGATGAAGTTGTGGGGGGTGACTAAGAACTGATTGAATCAACCAATGATCCTTGGATCAAACACCTTAACATCCTGTGGGATATGCGTTTTGAACAACGCGAGCTGCCCATCGAAGATAATGTAATTCAGGTCAACATGGGAGATGAATCCGATCCTAAACCAATCTTCATAAGAGAAAGCTTATCACTATCCAAGAAAGAAGATCTTATATCTCTCATCTGAGAATATATAGATATCTTTGCTTGGAATTATGAAGATATTCTGGTCTAGACCCGAAAGTAGCCATGCATCGTCTCAACATTGATACGAACGCAAAACCCGTTAAACAACAACAATGCTAGTTTCGTGGAGAAATCATGGAAGCAATTGAGTTAGAAGTCAAAAAGCTTATAGACTCACACTTTGTCAGAGAGGAACAACATCCCGATTGGGTAGCCAACATTATTCCATTTCCTAAGAAAAACGATAAAGTCCGGATATGTATTGACTTTCATGACCTCAATGCAGCTTGCCCAAAAGACGAGTTTCCACTCCCTATCACGGATGTCATGATCAACAATACCTGTGGATATGAGAGGATGTCTTTCATAGATAAGTTCGTAGGGTACAATCATATCAAAATGTACCCTAAAGACAAAAAGCATACTGCTTCAGAACACTATTGAGGGTGTATTGCTACACATTGATGCCCTTAGGACTAAAAAATACAGGTGCCACTTACCAACGTGCAATGAATACAATCTTTCATAAGCATCTACGTAAAAAGATTGAATGCTACGTTGATGATATAGTAGTGAAAAGCCAACACAAAGGAGATCATCTTACAGACTTGAAATAATGTTCGACATCATGCAAACACATCAGCTTAAGAAGAACCTGACAAAATTCCTCAGGGTATCAAGTGGAAAATTCTTGGGCTTTATAGTTATGTCCAAGAGAATTTCTCTTGACCCAGAAAAAGTGCGTACCATCCAAGACATACTACCTCCAAAGAACCATAAAGAGCTCCGAGGTTTGTAAGGCAGATTGACTTACATTTGGAGGTTCATCTCCAACTTCTTAGGACACTGCCAACCTTTCTCTAAGCTCATGAAGAAAGGAGTATCCTTTGTTTGGGATGGAGACTACCAGAAGGTATTTGAGGAGATTAAAAGATACCTCGCTAAACCACCTGTCCTTGTGGCTACGATATCAGGAAAATAGTTCCTGTTATATGTGAGAGCCATGGATTATTCTCTTGGAGATTTATTAGTCCAGAACAATGACCAAAGACAGGAGCAAGCAATGTACTACCTAAGTAGGACCATGATGGGAGCCAAACACCGGTACAATCTAGTAGAAAAAGAATATCTTGCTTTGTATTCATTGTCCAAAAGATGCGACATTACTGTAGGTGTCTAAAAATGTCTATAGGTGTCTGCACACAGCTCGAGACAAAGAGAAGGCGATAAATGTTATTATCCAAGTCGAAGAGGATTATCCGAGTCAAAGTGGATCATCTAACATTGACAAGCGCATGAAGTAAATCAGCGAACTGTTGATGACGCGGCAACGAACCACCGGAATGGCCAACGCCAAGTGGCCCGCGTGCTCACCGGCCACCGTCAAGTGGCCCACATGCTTACCAGCCACCTCCAAGTGGCCCGCATGCTCATCGGCCACCTGAATGGTAAACCAAGTGGACCATGCACTTACCGACCACCTCTGTGTTGCGCACACGCTCATCGGCCACGAGAATGGCAAACCAAGTAGTTTGGGCGCTTACCGGCCACCTCTATGTAGCCCGCGCACTCATCAGCCAGCTCTAAGTGGCCCGTGGGCTCACCGACCAGCTCCAAGTGACCGATGCGCTCATCTGCCACCTCTAAGTGGCCCACGCACTCACCAGCTACCTCCAAGTTAACTAAACACATCAAGCGAACCAATGAAGCGTACAGGTCAACGAAACAAGTCAAAACCCGGAAGACCTGAATAGGCCCTGGCGGCCGAGTCGCACTAAAAGGACTCGGTCAAAACCAGTGGCTCGGCCATAGCCGAGCCACCAAATGGTGGCTGAGTATAGTTTTGGGCCACCACGGATAGTGCTGACCAGTTGAAATTCTCGAAAACGCGTTTTCTGATGTTTTATCAGAGTTCTTTTGTTTTAGGACTTCTTCAATCGGTTTGAAGCTCCCCCAAACATATGTGAATCATTATCAACTACAGAAGACATCAGAATACCTAACTTATCAAAAAACATGACAACAAAAGCCTATAAATAGAAACCCATGGTCTTTATTTGAAAGGATCTGAAAATCAGAGGACGAGGTGCTGTTGAATTAAACAGTGAACCACGAATTTTAGAGGAGAATCAACGAACCTTGGTGAACTTTTTCATAAAGAAAAATCCTTTGAAAGATTCGACATTCTCTCCCCCTCCTTCCTCCGGATTAAACCTTATTTTAATCTCGAGAAGAGCTATAATCCCGCTTGGTCATGACTGTTGCTGTCGCAATTGTTTCCTTCAAGAAACAAGAGCGTAGTTATATAGTTAACCGGATTTGATCTGCGGTAGTCCACGGACTAACGCATCCCCGGCACAGGCAAAGATCCCACGCGAAGCATCAGGAGATAAACTACTACTACATTTTGTTAGATAAAGTTGTAATTTTTAATTTTTTCATTGTAAGAAGATCTTATAAAAAAGGTCGACTTTTCTTTCAGTTCAGACTTGTAATTGATAAATAGTGTAACAGGTTCGAAAGCAATGGAAAAAATAACTTTTAACGAAAATAAACTGGCGACCACAGTGGGGGCCATTAGCTTCTTTGCTGAAGCTGTAGTGTCACAGCTGAAGATTATCATCTTGGTTGACGAAGAGGTCGAGTACGAGTTCGGCCAAGCAAAGTACGAGGAATACTTATCCTCATCTTCAAAATCATCCTCTCCTCGCAAGCATAGGAGAGACTACACAAGAAAGATTCGGGGGTACTCAAACTTGAAGGCCCAAAATTAGGATCCTCACCCCGCGGCAGCCTAAGATACACCCCGCAATAGCCTCTCGGCGTATGACAAAGCCAAGGCCACGAACTACAGCTCTTCAATCAAAGAGCTAACTTCTGAAAATGTACCAACTCTCTTAAAAAGAGCATGTCAAACACAATGCCAATGCCTTGCGCTTCAATTCACAAAGGCCTTAGAATCGGTAGACGGAATCCACCAAGAGGCAAACCTAGAGCCTAAGCGATATCAAACCCCGCTACAGCGAACAAAAGATTCTTTTTTACAGCAACAGCTAACAAGTGGACCCATGTCAAAAGGACTCGTTCAACCCTTGAAGAGCGAATACAGAAACGTCACGTGTTGCTTGCATATGCGGAGAGCCTCATACAGGAGGCTAAGGAGTTACAGAGGCATGACGCACCGAATAAACAGTCAAAATTGCGCCGAATTTAGAGGCCAAAATCTAATACGAAGTCTAGAAAAACTAAACCACAAATTCCTGGTTCAACCAGACCTGAACCACAAAAGCCTGGTTCAGTCAGACCTGAACCACTAAAAACTGGTACAGTCAGATCTAAGCCACCAAAATTTGACTCTGTAGGACCTAGGTTGCCAAAAACTACACCCGACGATATTTATGAATTTCCACCGGATCGAGCAATTGAGTTTTCTTGAACCACAAATTCCTGAACCAAACCAGAACCACAAATTCCTGTTTCCCGACGATATTGACGGATAACCACCAGATTGAGCAATTGAGTTTTCTATAGATTTGAAGCCTTGAGTTGCGCCAATCTTCAAGATCCCTTATCGTATGCCCCCGGCTGAGTTGGTCGAGCTTCGGACTCAGTTGGATGACCTTTTACAGAGAGGGTTGATTTGACCCAGTGTATCAGCATGGGGAGCACCTGTGTTGCTTGTGGGGAAGAAGGATGGGTCCAAGCGGATGTGTATCGACTACCGGGAGTTGAATGCAGTGACAGTGAAGAATAAGTGCCCACTTCCCCGTATCGATGATATCTTTAATCAATTAGGAAGATCAAGAGTATTTTCTAAGCTAGATTTAAGGAGTGGGTATCACCAGGTGAAGGTTAAGGATTCTGATGTCCCCAGGACTATGTTCCTGACGAGATATGGACATTATGAATTCTTAGTGATATCGTTTGGTGTGACTAATGCGCCGACGACATTCATGAACCTAATGAATCTGGTATTCTATGATGTACTGGACAAGTTTTTGGAAGTTTTTATTGATGATATCTTTGTGTACTCTAAGAGTAAGGAGGAGCATGCAGAGCATTTGTGGTACG